AAAAAAAAAAAAAAAAAAAAAAAAGTATTTTTTGGGTCTTCTTTCTCAACCTCTCTCTCTCCTAAAAGAAAATCAAGATCTGATTTTTCATAAAAATTTACACGACAATTTGGTCGGATCATCGGAGCTGTCGCCGGCGAATCCACGGCGGCTGTGATGAACTTCGGCAGCTTTTCCGATGATCATAAAAAAGAGAGCCATTTGGGTGCCCTCTGATCCCTTTTCTTCTTCACACTGATCCACAGCTCAACCCTTTGGCTTCTGATCCCTTCATGATCCTAAGCTTCTTGCATGACCCCATGAACATTCTACAAATTTTCAAATAAACCCACCGTTAGTTACTTGAACCAAAACCTAAACCTAAACCGAATCTCATGATCAACGAAAAAAATTATCGAACATCGCCGTTACAATAAAATAGTTCGTGGGTTGATTTGGGTTATTTTTGTTCAAAAATATACTACTTGAAAAATTGAGTCGGATCTAAAAAAAACAATAAATTATTCTGGTTGGTTCAATAATTCAGTTGAGTTGGATTGATCCGATTAAAAACGTTCTAGATATGTATGAAACTACGAGAAAAAAGTTGCAGGCTTGTTATTTTAGGTAGAGATTGAAACTTACTCCCAGGGAACGTCACCAACGAGCATCCAATCGCCATCTTTATCTTCATAAGTCAGAACAAATTCCGACCCGTTATACCCTTCTCTCTCACAAAACTTACCTACAAGAACACGAAGAAAATTGAATATATTTTCATTCTAAAGCGATTATGATCTCGAGATCCATGTTTAAGAAAATTACCAAGAGAGAATTTGAACATGTTCTCCAAAGCTTGAAGAAGCTCAGGATATCCTTGATAGGTTTTGAGATCAACTTTCCTTAGAAAAGGAGCTCCATCCATGCTAACTTTTATGAACATCCCTCCCGCCGCCGCCGCCACCTCATCTTTTTTCTTAGCTTGAAAACAATTCTTTCTGAACGATCTCACCGGCGGCCACCCCACGACTTGTGCCCTGAAAAGTTCAAATCTTTTCGTCAAATTCTATTCAAATAAGAGATAAAGTTTGAGTTTTTATTTTGAGGTGCTTACTTGGTGGGTGGGGGATTTTCTTGGGCGGATTTAGTGAGATCGGAGTTATTATCCCGGCCGGATTCCAGTGGGTTCTGGTCGTCGGAGGGCAAAGCTCTTTTGTTGGAGATGATTCGATTGATCGTAGAAGATTGATCGTCCGGCGAAGTTCCCGGCAAGCCTAATCGGAGCTCGGTGGCTTCCAAATTGAGATCTTTCTCGAACGCCATTTTTTTTCCTTCTCTGAAATGGGTTTCTTGAATTTTCTGATGCGTTGTGTTTTATTTTCTCGGGAAACAAACAGAAAGTGCAGAAGAGAATCAGAGGAGAAATGAAGTGCTTGTTAAACTCAAATAACACTCAAACGTATTTTATAGAAGGCGATTAAAGCAAAAGGGGCTATAATTTCCCCACTTCCCTACTTGGCGCGTGTTTAACACGCGCACCAAATTAAAACTTCAATTTTATTTTATCTTAAGTTATATTTTATTTTGATTTCCTATTATTCTATTTTAATCTTCAATTTTACACCCAATAAAAAAAAAATAATAATAATATAATGAAAATAACGCAGTGAAAATCAAATAAAGTCATGTTTTTTTCGTAGATTCCCATCAAAGCATGAACAAGACGGAATGAAAGCTTTTAAAATAGAGTAAATTTGAAATTCTCCCAACTTAAAACCGAAACCCTAATTTGGAAACTCTAATTGGGTCATATGAAGCACGTGCATGAAACAACTGAGTCACGATCTATAGTTTTCGACAGTGTTTGGGGAATGTTCAAATTTCATGATTTCAATGCGAATTTCGAGGAAAAAGAGCCTATGAGACTGTAAGTACACGCTTAATATCAAGCAATTTGATTCATAAGATCTAGCTAGTACATGAATAATTAAATTAAAACAGTGAAAAATCGAACTATAGAGATACGATCGTGACTTAAGGGCTCTGACCCTACGGTTTTTAGAGCAGTGTTGAACTGCCATCGGACCCGAAAGCTTAATTAATTAAAAAGGGAATTGAGGAGAAAGAGAGGAGTAGGGCCAAGGAGAGTGGGGTAGGGAACATGGGAAGGGCAAGGGGAATCAAATAGGTAAGAGGTGGGGACATGGGCAGGTAAGGGTGTTTGGGTAATGAGCTACACAAATTAAAGGAGGGTGTCTTTGAATTTTAAGGGCAAAAGGCCCTTTTGAATCCAACGGTTGAGGATGGAGATTAGGGAAAGGAGAATTAAAAGGTGATGTATTGAGAGCCGTTGGATTGCGGATTGGTCCCACATGGGGTGCTGTTTTTGGGTGAGACAAGCATGGTGGGTAGTAATGGTATGCCCTTAAAACCTCTTTAAAAACTACATGCTATGGCGGTTGGGGCAGCCATCCCATGTGCTCACTTCCACCTTATTAAAAACTTCCCTCCCTCTCTCTCGGTTGGTCTCGAGAAATAACATGGCTACTAATTTACACGGTTAGATGTATGGAAGAAAGAGAATTTACCGAATATAATTTGAACTCGTGTAAAGTAGTCGCTACGAAACATATATATTTTGAATATATATTCAACTAGTTAAGACATATACTCTCGACTAGGGATATCCATTTAACTCACGAGGCCATGACCTTATAGGGACATGTCCCAAACGAGGCTAAGAATGTAACAACTCAAATCCATTGCCAGCAGATATTGTCCTATTTATGTTTTCACTCTCGGGATTTCTCTTAAGGTTTTTAAAACGAGTCTGCTAGGAGAAGGTTTCCAACTCTTATAAGGAACGTTTCGTTCCCCTCTTCAACCGATGTGAGATCTCACAATTCACGCCCTTTAGGGTCTAGCGTCCTCGTTGACACATTGTCTGGTGTCTAGTTTTGATATCATTTGTAATCGACAAAACCCACAAAAATATGAAATAAGAGGCGGGGACGACGAATCCCCATCCCAAATCCCAAGAAAATAAATGGAAAATTTTGCAAGAATAAAAAATGAAATGAGAGGCGGGGATGGGGACAGAAAAGCTTCCTTGTCCTCTACTCGACTCGTGGGCATCTCTATTCTCGACTAGTTAGTCAGATATTCGAGTCTTCTCTCAACGTACATGTCGTAAGTTCATACATATATTTTTTATTACAAAGTCAAATGCTCGAGTTTCTTCTACTCTACGTGTTCTTGATGTAAAAATAATTGTTATTATCATCACGGAGTTCGATAATTATTTAAAATGATTAGGATTTAAATAAGAGGGAAGATTCCAATGTATGAATGAATTTAGAAAGTTAGTATACATTGAACTATGTTCACATGTATATGTTTGAATAATAATGGAATTCTTTTACCATTTTTATATTTTGGGTAATTTTTTATTCTCATTCATCTGTTAATGTTTGGATATTGTCTCTCACACTGTTTTTTTTAAGGTTTGGTCAATTCTTTTTCTCATGCTTTAAGGTTTTGGTGATTCTGTTTCATACTTTTAAGATTTGGGTTGTTTTCTCCCTCTCTCCCTTTCTAGAATTTAGGTTATTCTCTGTCTCGACATGCTTTCGTTTCGTTTCGTTAAGCTATACGTTATGGGAAGAATTTGAATCTTGAACCTCTTAGTCAAGACTATATATATTATGTTAGTTGAGATAGGCTCGGTTCAGCTATACGTTAGGTGGAGAATTCGAATCTTGAACCTCTTCGTCAAGACTATATATGTTATGCTAGTTGAGCTATGCTCGGTGGAGAATTCGAATCTCGAACCTCTTAGTCAAGACTATATATGTTGTGTTAATTGAGCTATGCACAGTTCAACTATACGTTAGGTGGAGAATTTAAATCTCAAACCTTTAGTCGAGACTATGTTATGTTATGTTATGTTAGTTGAGCTAGGCACGGTTCAGCTATACGTTAGGTAGAGAATTTGAATCTCGAACCTCTTCGTCAAGACTATATATGTTATGTTAGTTGAGCTATGTTCGGTTCAACTATACGTTAGGTGGAGAATTCGAATATTGAACCTCTTAGTCAAGACTATATATGTTATGCTAGTTGAGCTAGACACAGTTAAGCTATACGTTAGGTGGAGAATTCGAATCTTGAACCTCTTTGTCAAGACTATATATGTTATGTTAGTTGAGCTATGCTCGGTTTAGCTATACTTCAGGGTGGAGAATTTGAATCTCAAACCTTTTATGTTAATTGAGCTATGCTCGTGCTCTCCAACAGACACTTCACTAATTTAGGATTTGAGTAGTAATTTTCTCTCTCTTATTCTCGAGAGAGAATTCAAACTTCCCATTTATAACAAAGGGTATTAATACCTAAGTGACTCAAGCCCACAACTAGTAGATATTGTCTGTTTTGGTTCGTTACATATCATTGTCAACTTCACGATTTTAAAACGCGTCTATTAGGCACACTCTTGTAAGGAAACATTATTTTAAAAATATATACAGAAGGACAGTCTCATTAATTATTTTTAAATCCAAATAATTTTGAATAATAATATCGACTTTAAATTTTAATTTTTTTTAAGCAAAATTATCAATATGGCTAAATGACGTAATTTAAACGAAAAAGTAAGTTTAACCTAATTCGTATTACATGGCTTCTGAACTTATTTTTATTATAAAAATAATAAAAATGGCTTTTCATGATGTGAAAGGCCAACCCCAAATTTTGATTTTGATTTTGATTGTGAAAATAACAAAAAAAAAAACATTAATTATAATTACTTTTTAAAAGTAAAGTAATTGATTATATAATTAACTTAATTCTAATCCTAATTCATAATATTAAATAAATATTAATATATAAATAGTGAATTACATAAATTGTCAATTTCATAATGATTATTTTTTATTTTAATTAATTAGGTATTATATATTTGATAAGAAAATATATATTATATTTCATTATTGGAATAAAAACATTACTCTTTCCTATAATTGCTGCAAAATTTAAGCCGAAGTGTTGGTGTTAATTATTAATAAAATTTGTTGTCTAATATTCTTTATCATATATTATTTTAATAATCATTAACTATAATTATTACTGTTATTATTTTATGGAAATAATTATGATATAATTATTGCTTCAATTTAACCCAAAAAATAATAAATAAAAAAATATACAAATTTTAATTTTTTTTCTAGCCCGATTTCGAACGAGACATGAAATGGTTATAAAAATTATAGTTATTATCGGTGCCAAACAGTTTTTTTAAATGGTTCTAAAAAAACATGTGAATGAGAACAAAACATGCTTAAATGACTCCGGTTAGTCTGAAAAGACAGTTAAAGTCATGAAATGTCAAATTCATATATTTTAAGTACTGGACCTGGAGCATAGTTTTTTTCAGTGTGAGAATAGCTTTGAAAAGACAGATTGCCCATCTTTTTTAATCTCGGGAGAAATATAATCGGGGAGGTGCTAATTCAAACCGCCGTTTTTTCTCGTTTGTAAGAAATTCAAATGCATATCATAAGGAATTCAAACCACTGCTTCAAATACAGTATCAAGAAGTACTGCTTGTAGAATCTCGATATCCACAAGCTTATTAGCTAAATGGCGGTCTAACGAAATAATTATATTAAAAAAGTTAAAAGAACAAAACAAGGATTTTAAATATTTTTTATTTTAAAAAATAATTAATGTTGATATATAATCATTAAAACAACATGGAGCTCATTAAAGTAACTTTATTTTAATTTTGAAATGAAATGTAAATTATTTAATATAAGTCAACAATGGCATAAATTTGAAAATGATATATTTAAAATAATAAAAGGCGTGCGGATAATGGGCCAGACAAAAAATGGAACACAAAGGGCCCACAACATTATTAGACCTTTTTTTGTATAACCAATTCATTGTTTTAAAGCCCATAACACCCAACCATGTGGGCCCCACTAATTACCAAAAGCCACCAAATTCTCTCTCTATTTAATTGTATTTTTTTTTAAATAATAAATTAATTTTAATTTTAAGAACTAACTTAAAATGGTTAGGTGTGTTCGTGGGTTAGGCTAGGTCGGATAGAGTAGAGACGTTTTCTAAACCTAACTCGATTGTTCGGGTTCTGTTGTTTTTAACTCAACTCAATCATAAGTTTTTTGGGTCATTTATTAAAAATTTATTTTTAATAAAAAAAAAATATTTGTTCGTAAAACATCTATTTATTTAACTTTTGAAAAATTACCCAATTAAAAAATATGTTAAGAGGGTTAAACATTTTTTTACCGATTTAATTTTATGACTATGTGTGAGCCTTTTATGTACCTCGATTTTAAATATTTTGTCATTTAATTTTTATGTATGAAAATATTAAATTTACAAATTTATACAATTTTAGAATTTATAGCAAGTCGTCACTAAATCACG